CACCACAGCGACCCAGGACAGCCTCTCCAGCATTTTCTGATTGGTCCATAGTTTACCATTTGTATTACATGGATTCCGCCATCTTCCAAGATGGCGGACGCTAGTGTCCTTAAAGTGTAAAAGTACCCTGTTTCCTTATTGCATGTACACCTTATTAGGTCGTTTTTGTTCTTACATCATTTTCTGTCCTATCCTTTGGAACGACCTCTTTTGTAATTACGCAAGAATATCGTCAAGGTAATTAGCAAAGGATGTGGTCATGGTTATTGCATCATAATTCGCCATTCTCTTTAATTCTTGTCTAGTATACTCTACTGATTCAAACCTATATGAACTATATAGTTAAACCAAACGTTGTCAACATTTCGTCACTACACAATTGGTTGTATGTACACCATGGTTATATTGGATATATAGGATATATATTTTAGTCTTGAAAATGTGAGCGGAGATCAGATATCCCTATTTAGTTTTTCTTTTAATTATCACATTCATAAGAGAAAAGGCAACTATATACGTTCTAGTCGGTAGTTAAAGATCGGTGAGTCATCGTTTTACAAGTTACTTTTCACTGTAACGACCTCTATCTTTACTTTGGAGCAGTTTGCGGTTATATTTTGTTCTAATGGATATTCTGATATGACTCAAATTCTTGTTATAGCCGTCTTTCGCCGTTTGCATTTGGAAAATATTTAATCAGCCTCTCTCTACATATTCAGCGTTACAGAAAGTGACTACTCAGTTATGGTGGAAGAAAATGATAAAACAAAGGATTTCTTTTCAAATTTCCACCCAGGGACTGCTCGTTACTGCAGCAATGGATGATAGAGGATTCTTAACTCTCTCATTTTAAGTTTGTTTGTCACAATATAAAGGAAACAGACTTCTGATATAGGAATTACTTGAAAACTTTTAACAGGAGCTCGCAGAGTGCATTTGGAATTTTTTGACTAATCATAAGCGAATAGCATGTAATGTCGGCTACAAAGCGAAAAAATTGGGCTGACATCAGTGACTATTCTACATCAACAGTCTCATTTCTTCTAATCATCCAATTCAAATGAAAATCTTATAAAAATGAGTAGGTATTTGTGTAGTAGAACATTACATCATGTCTAGCATGATGCGTATAAGTGATCAACTTTAACGAAAAAATTCTTTTCGTTAAGGTCAAAAGGAAAATTCATAAATAAATCATTTTCATTTTGATTTCAGATTTTTACTTTGTCAATGTTAAAATGTCCAAGAGGATGGTTACTGATAGATCAAAATACAAAGAGTAAGCATAAATCAATTATATAGCTTAAAATAATGATGATATTTTTCCCCATATTCTAGTGTAAAGAAAAACTATACGCTAGTGAATGGAACAAATTCATTTTTCATCGATTCATCCTGTACAACAAACATTAAAGTAACAAAGACTTACTTCAATGTGAAGGGTAGTTAATTGTTTGTATAATTGTTGCTAGGTGACAAGATTTGAAATGCTATCGAATGATCTGGTCTATGAGCTATTCGACTATTTGGATTCGTACAACATCTATATGATATTCAGTCAGTTGAACACACGATATACATGTTTAATTAAATCGTTACGAATGACTATCGATATGAACTATATCACACGAACAATGTTTCACCATTATCTCTATCTTATCATTCCGAATACACTTAGCCAAATAACAACATTGAAACTGTATAACAATAAAACAGTAAAGCAAATCGAATTATTCTTTGAAATATTTAATGATTTATCGTTGTTTACTCATATCAAATCGTTGTATCTGAATGCAGTTAAAGAGAAAGAATTGACTAAAATCGTTTTACAATTACCAAAATTGCCACTCTTGACAAATCTGTCAGTCGTTCTTTCTAAAAGTGATCGATACCGTGGATCGAATATTGTCAATTTCAATATCATATTTAGTCAACAGATAGCATCGCTAAAACATATTAGCATTGTATTAAACAATAAACGATTCTATCTGAATGAGATGAACGAATATGTTTCTTCAATCGAAACAGTAACAATCAATCCATTGCATTATGACGACATGATTAATTTATTTAGATACATTCCACACGTAAAGCGTCTAACAGTCAATTTGATTAATGTCGGTTCCAGCGCTAGTGACAGTGACAGTTCCATTTCTATAGATGAATCGGACACAGTATCTGCTGATGATTCATGGTCAAAAAAAGACGGTAGGCTGCTCTTCTCTCATTTAGATTAGTAAAAGACGCGAAATTCATTTTATTTAGAGTCATCATCAAGTGATTATGAAGCGATGCCACTTATACATCTGCCTGTCTCAATGTCAAATTTAATATATTTTAAATTAAATGCAAAGCATACAGAGTTTAATCAAATTACATCTGTTTTTAACCAAATGCCAAAATTGAAATATTTATCACTTCAATCTGAAAACGAAGATTTTCTTGATGGTTTTCGATTAGAACGATGTCTGTCAACATCACTTATAGAACTAAAACATTTCGAATTACTTGTACTGTCGAACTATGATAATATTGTAGACAGTGACGAAAACAATGAGGATGAAGAGTATGAAGTAACTCTTACAATGAATGTAGATAAAATATTGAAATCATTCAAGACAGATTATTGGCGTCGACACGATTGGAATTTTGTATGTGACTATTCGGGTTTGAATGAATATTTCGATTTACAACTATACACTATGCCATATTTATCCAACACATATCATTTAGTATTAGGAGATCCTGATCAAGTAATGATGATTAGATCAACTGCCAAAATTGGGATAAAAGATGATATCGCTTACAAAAATGTTGATTGTCTCGATCTCTATCTAGGTAATTCCGATTGTTATCTTTGTGTTATTTTATACTCTGTAGTATTCAAACTTTATTTCGATCTTATTCAGATTTTCTTGAAATATCTAATGAATTTTAAGTTGATAGAAGGAAAACGTTTGATATTTTCCTGTAGTGATAATCGAGAGAAGGTCCCTGTATCTCGTCAATATGCATCTGTCTCCGTTACTCTCCTGTTAAGACTACGAACTTATTTATTACTCTGCAAGAAAAATTCCAATGTGTACCGGTGCACATGACATGCCGTGGAACACCGACACTGGCTGACACCAGTGGTCAGTAAATGCCAATGAGAATCAGTGTCATACTGAAATTTTGTCTGTTATTGGAAAAGTAACGCACTGAGTCAAAGAATGGCATCGGTGCACGAAATCACCCATCATTACTCAGGAAAAAAATCATTCGGCACTGATGCACATCCGTACACAATCAGTGCCGATAAAAAAAATGTTTACAGGGTTAGTACACATTTTTTCATCATAGTTTTCGGCAATTATTTTCAATGGTTTTGTGACTTTTAAAAGTGACGAGAATAAAGTCAGTAAATTATCAGAGCTTTACTTAGAAGTAGAACAAAGTTTGCCTTCTAGTCAAAACAAGTCTTTTTATTCTATGGGGAAGTTAGCTACCTAAGTTAGTGACACTTGTCAGAATGTTAAGAACAAGACACGAACGTTGAACTAAGGAGGATTCAGGTATCTGTTGGAGCCTTTGCTACAGTTTGAATGTATTTAAATATTTAAACAACTTGAACAATATTTTCATTTGAAATTAGTTTACACGATGTTCAGTTTTTAATGTGATTAAGAGAAGATTTCTCGTTTGTCAAATCAATACATATTTTTTCCACATTTTTAGAAAAGAGTGGTAGGTTTTTTGTACCAATGTGTAACAACAAAAAGACCAGAGCAAAGTACCTTTTTCTAACGATAGTTTAGATAAAACAACTCACCTGATTTTGATTTAAGCTTTAGTTAAATAAGAAAAAGTAAAAAGTAAACAAAAGTCGCTATCATTCTAACGTAGAAGCGACTGTAGCCATTATATCACGGTTAGAAATGATGAAAGTCGTAAGACATAGAATAACATTAGAGTTAAAAAGAAGAGAATAAATATATGTGAAAAGTGAGAGAAAGAAACGACTCACCTATGTCCGATGAACTAAGTTCTTTCCATTGACCTTTCGTCATATGGATTTTGAACGGCTCATGTGGGAGGAGACACCTTAGGCATGCAATACCCAGGTCCATAATTACGCCCACCATAAACGGTCGTAAAAAAACTGCGTACTTTTTTGTTTACAGCTGTAAACAGTGATGGAAAATGTCATATTCGGAATCAGACTCAAAAACTGAGCCGACTGATATGTATTTCTGTCCTATCCGACTACTTTAATATTTTTCGAATTTTCATGTTGAAAAAACTACCAAGATTTTCACCCAAAATTGAAAATCAACTAAAAATTTCAAAATACACAGCAGTCGGCTCAGTTGTTGATCCTGATTCCGAATATGACATTTTTATTGGCCAAAAGTTGAGCTCTGATCGGGCAAATGGGGAATTAGGGGCAGAATTACGACTTTTTCGCCTCTGATTTAGAAAAATGATGTTTCTCAGCAACCAAAAGGACTCTTGAAAAACAGAGAACGTACTTTTATTCATTGTGTCAAGACGCTTCCAATGGCATAAGAACGAGGCCTCTATCCTTTAACCCCAAGGACGAGATAGGTTTGCAAGATGGCCTCCTCGCAGTTTGAGACCCTTTCATAAAAAGTTTCGCCCAAATCGCAGTGTAGAGTTGGAATCTTAAAAGCTAATGTTCTGCATTCAGTTTTTCACGCTGATTCCGAATGTCACCTCGTTGGTCTTCCAAAATTCTTGAAGACTGAGATACTGCATTTTGTCTGAAAAGTTGTGATTTTTCAAAAAACGAGCACTTCACAATGTTTTGAAATTTTCTTCATGAAGAAGTGGACTGGAGAGGTTAAAAAGGACATATTTGTGATCCCTGGCTTTCGGACTATTCAGCCATGTGTGTTTGAATTAAAAATAAAACCGTGTGGAAACTTCGAGTTGCACCTTACATGTAAGGTGCAACATCCAAAGTACCTTTTAGAATACATGTGATTGTATTTTTTCGAAAATCTTTGGAAGCAAGGCAACAAAAAACTGTATTCGGAGTAGAGCTGGACGATGCACTATCTTTGGCTCCCTCGTACGGACCGCCTCGTAAACTTTCTGCCTTGTCATCTCTCCATGCCTCGCCAAATTTCGATTAATGTACTTCGCGGAGATCGCTCCGTAAGCTTTCTGCCTCGTTCACCGTCAACTCTTGATAAAATTTTCCTCTTGTACTTCCTCCTCGATCCTCCTAAGTTCGGAAAATCTTTACTAACATAAGCTATTCATGGTTTCATCTTGATTTACAAGAGGAACCATCACCTTTGTTATAAAAATAGATCAAAATAAACATAACATCTTTTGCTCATAAGAAAAAATATCTCTTCGCGTTGTGAAGTTCTTGCCTTGTCAAGCTCTCACAAAGTCTTTCTCTCGCGGGATCCGCTCTGTGAATCTCGCGAGGTTCATCGTTCCCCTCTGATTCAGAGTATATGTTTAATTTTGGAGCAAAATTGTTTCAAATCTATCTGTCAAAGAAATTCTTGATATTAATCAGTTGGCAAAGTTTTATATTTCTGAATAAATAGAATAACATCGTTTATGAAAATTTTGTAAAGTACTGAAAGAAACGTAATTTAAATGAATATTTTTTTTCGTTTTAGAATCACCTCACACCTATAATCGTATATATCAACATGAACAACAGTTAGATCGACGATATTTATCTGTTACCACATTAAAATTACAAACTATGGATGATGAATTAAAAAAATGGCGTTTACCTTTTATGTTATCGGCTATTGAAAATAGTATTGTAGCGTCAAATTTGAAATGTGTCTGTTTAGAGACAGAACTCAATACTAGTTTCTTGCTGAAATTATTAGAAAAAGCTCCCAATGTTAAAGTATTAAAAATACTCAATGATACTACAGACATTTTATGTAATAGGCAATTGTGTGCAATAATTAATCAACAAATAAAACAGTTGTCTTTTTCAAGTACAGTCTATTTAAGATATAATCAGATTAAAACATTTTGTTCACTTTTAGTTAATATTGAATATCTAAGAATTAAATTTGAAAAAACAAATGATCTACAAAAGTCGTTGACTAGGTTTATGGAAAGAATGACGGCATTACGATTTTTAAAAATATACAAATTTGAATCAGATCGATATGATAAGAAACTCATATCATTTTTTAATCAATGTGAGCAACAATATATTCTTGATAATGAACATAAATATTCTTTATCGGTTTGGATAAAATAAATACTCCTTCATTTTTGTTTATAAGAATTTAGAAATAAAGTGTTATTTTTTATGAAAATAAATTAATCTAATACACGGTTGGAAATAATATTTTTCCAGGAAGGTAGAGCTGAAACTACAAATGATATAAAAATTTATTATATACCAAATTAATGTTCATCTAAAATGGAATTGATGTGTACGACTGATATTCTGTATGACGATT